GAATACATTTTGGGGCATGTAATCTGTAATCTGTAATGGAATACATGTTAAAAGTAACCTTCCCAACACTGTGAATACAGACCCAGTGTGAATGAAACTCAACAAACACTGAGCTCGCTCTAACAGCCCAAACTCGTCACAAATGAGATTTCTTCATTTTCGAGGCTTCCGTCCAGAGCTGCTCATGTGCAGATGACTAATTTTACCCGTTGTCAGATGAACCGCCGTCGCTTTGGGCCAACGACCCCCAGAGTGTAGCTGAAACTAGATTCGACACTTGGGCTCGTGAGCTTTGGCCACGGGAGGCACCTTAAAAGAATCCTTTCAGTGACAGTTACCAGGCACACCGAGCCACACGCAGTAATCCAATCAAAACAATCAGAAACCAGCGTTTTGTTAAACGACTCTGGTTTGTGGTCCTCGCCGTGGCCCCAGCGTGCGAGCGGACCTTTTTTAGCATAAACACGCCCGAGTTTCAAAGCAAAGATGCTGTGAGTTCACTTCAGCGCAACTATCGCTGCATGAGCATTTGATTCCTGACGCTGTGGGGTTTCAAAATCTCAGCAATGTAATGGAAAACGTCTGCAGGCTTTTGTTACTTGTTCTCATGAAACCGCACTCTATTGATGGTAATAGTGCGCTATTGTGCAACGGTCTCCTCTCTCCCCTGCCTGTCACACGAACCGTGAATGTGAAGTATTGCTGATCACATGCTCGTGCTTATATTTGTGTCAGGCAGGATAAGTCGTAGGGTTGGTAAAGGGGTCGTGCACTTTGGTCTCCTTTAAATATGTCAAGGAAAAGCATGTGAGTCAGCCTGAGCGGCCTATTTGTGGTGCAGCGCTGGACATGTTGTGAGAGAAAACACCGGCTCGGTGACGCCGCCCGCACTTCTAATAAGCCTCAAGTCAAAACCTCCAGCTATGCGCTCATAGTTTTCCTCTCTGGTACTCGGCTGTCTTTCATTGCAGCCCCACGTTGCTCCTTCAGCTGCTCCGTCACCTGCAACGGTGAAACAAACGCCCTTTTCATGCCCCCCGTGGGTGATACGAATACCTCATTTCCTGTGACTTGGCACCGGGGGAACCGTAAGCTGGGACAGATGGGAGACTGATTGGAATAACTGATGCAGACACTGAAGCTCCAACAAAACACTCTTTGTTTGTCAAGAAGAGGTGAAATATACAACGACAACTCTGATGTTCCTGATTCATGATGTTGGGGTAACAAAGTGAAAGAGACGTGAAACAGGAGGGAGGTGAGCGGCTGCAGCTGCTGAGATGATGTTTCTGGATGTTCCCCACACAGACAAATAAACAGCACTTCAAAAACATTCATAGGTTCAGATGTAAAATGCTTTGGTGTTCAAACTATGTCATGTTTGTCTGGGTGCACGCCACGGGCTCGTCGCTGTTAGATGCCTTTTTACGCATGAATG